CACGGTTTTTCGTTATCGTTAACTTTTTTAAATCTTGCTTTTAATCTTCTATATAGAATACTTCTTACTTACGATGAATTAAATTCCTTCTTATTTTTAAAAATGTATTTAGGATGGAGGTAGCTCTTGCAGCTCCGGCCTCTTACATAGTACAAGTCGTTCTTTGGCAGACGCATTGCCAGGCCAACCTAAACGTCGCCTACTTTCATGTTCTCATAATGCACATTCTTCCACTACTGCAGACAGGGGCTTGCAGGCCAGAGTACTTAACTCTGAAGAGGGTCAGGTTCTGGAAACTATGCCATCTACCTCAGCGACTGTGCCAGCTAGTCTCCCTGTCTGTGGCTCTTTTGACTTAGCTCATGAATCTCGACAGGATGCCTCGAATGGGCAACACTCCTACAACGTGTATCATTCTCATAACATGCCCCAGCGTCATTCTCATCACCTACCTCAACCAACTGCCCAGTCTCATCATTCGCAGATCGAACGCAAAACGCCTTTCCGATCAAAGCCTCTTTTAGTATATCGTGGACCGGACGGCGTTATCACCGAAGTGGCATGGTCTAAAAATCTTTTTCTCCTAGCTACGAGCATGGATCGTCAGGTTCGCCTCTGGCACATCAGTCGGCGTGAATGCCTTTGCGTATTTAGTCATCACGATACCGTTCCTACCATTGTTTTTCATCCCAAGGTAAGTAGTCCTCAGGGACATGTGATAGGGAGGCTTAACCAAATACTAAGCCTTATTCCCGAAAATAATCTTATCTAAGGTTGGAGATAATGGCGCCATAATAGCAAATTCTAAGAGTATGTTTATAAATTGTATTTAACTCATTCCTGTCTCTAACAATCTATCTCGGAGTTAATATTTAAAAATTCTCCTTACGAAGCGTTCCATTTTGTATCTAGTACTTTTAGTTCTGCTCAGTACTGAGGCTTTCATTTGAATTCAGACATACTAGGGCCTGGATAAGTTCATGAAATCACTAATCTATGGCATTATTTCAATTCAAATTCCTTTGTTTTAATATATTTGGAAGAAAACCGATTCTAATTCTTTTATATGCTTAAGCCTATCTACAACATTGTGTACCTTGTTCCTTTCGACTATTGGCCTCTGGCTCAGGATGACCGATACTTTCTCTCTGGCAGCTTGGACGGCAAGCTGCGACTCTGGAATATTCCAGACAAGAAGGTCTGTTTCTGGGTTGAGGTGCCGCTGCCATCAGCACTAGCTCATCCAGCACCCAGTTCGCTAAGCTCCTCTGCTTCCGCTGCAGTATCTGGTCTCTTCTTCAAGACATCTAGCAGCTTTCCCAGCGGTTACCTGGCTTCGGCTGTTTCTGCCAGTGGAGAGGCTTGCAATGAGCTAAATTTGACCGGGCCTGGAGTCGCGGTCACGAGCGGCTTGGCTCCTGAGACAGCCAATGAGCCAAAAACTCTTATTACTTGTGCTACTTTCGCTTGCGAAGGCACAAAAGTAGTAGTTGGAAGCTATGATGGAAGAGTATTATTCTTCAATTCTGAGGTTAGTTACTGTGCACAGACGGCTATATCAACTTACTAGCAGATGATAATTCAATTAATTAACATCAAAGTGATGATTGAATTATGGCAGAAGTAGCTTACTCCAAACTTCTTATAGGATATTTTAAATATTTAAACTCTTATAAATAGCCGTCAGCTGATTTTCAAAAGCCTTTTACAATTTAATGTAGCTCGAATTTTAATTTCGACGAAAAATTTGATTGGAATGAATTGGCGAATTGGCTACACTCAAAGCAAAGGACAACTTTGAATTGCATGAAAAGGTCCTAGGCTTACAGCTCTGCGAGCCTGATGAATTTATGCTGAACTTTCTTTTTTCATGTGACAGGCATCGTCAAAACGAGAAATGTCAGAACGACTAAACTGTTTGATCAAGATGCTCGAGTAAAAGCCATACGTATGT